AGCCAAACAAAAGACAGGCATATGAGTTGAACATTTACCTCAGGTAGATACACTCCTTGGAGAGAACAATCATGGGAGAAAGAAGGGCAGCGTATGCACAGTGAGACAGTTCAGGGAACAGGAGTGCATGGAGGGATGGACAGTGGGAAGAGGTAACTATGGGGAGGAAGTTGGGGGAGCTGTTGTATTGTGGTAAACTGTGGTCAGTGTCATGAGACAAACTGTATGTGAACTGCTGTATGAAAAGTGAATTTGCTCTGTAAATCTTCACCCAAATCACAATTAAAAAAAAAAAAGTTCAGCTACTCAGCCAGAATTCTCCTGACGCCTGCACACAGGAAAGCTGCTTATAATGCTCTTGTGCTTCCTAAGGCTGCTGACTTACCCCCACTGCTGCAGGAAGGCCTGCCAGGCAGATCATCTGTGCACACAAGGAGTGGCCCCAGTTACATCAGCTGAAGCAAGAGCTGCCTCACTGCCAAGGGATTGCCTCATCCTGCCATTCCCCACAGGAAGCAAAGGCAGGGCACCCTGTTCATACTTGCATGAGCTAGAGGACAGGGCTTCTAGGGTGAGGGGGAGACAAGTGGGGTTCACTCACCCAACGCCATGGGCATAGACTCCAGTGCTTGCCCCATTTCAACCCAGAAAACCACCAGGACTCTTTAAGTGTCTTGAGATCAGGAAGCTTAGCTTGTTTATGTATGTAACCCTAATGCCTTGCACAGTGCTTAGTTCATATCAGGTGATCAGTAAATGTTTATTGAATAAATAGACATCTTTGCACATTTGTCTACATTTTATCTCTACTTTCACCCCTGAATTTGCCCTGCTTTGTCCCGCAGCCAATGACCCTTTTCTTCCACCATGCTATACAGGCTTTTTCTCACCCACCAAGCTGTAACCTGAGCGCCCTCTCTATTCATTACCCCCACTCCACTCCTCAGGCACTGTCACTCTGGCACAAACACTACACCTTGAGACAGATGTTGCCCTCACAGGTGCCTTTTCCAATCTTTCCAGCACCTGCTGTGAGGGGACAGTGGGCACAGAAAGCATCTTTAGAGATCAGCCCTCTCTCTTTGCACTGAGACAGGGCAACATCTCATTTCACCAGCCTCTTTCCTTAGCCCATGACCTCAAAGAAGGGGACTCTCAGCTTAACTCAGTCATTAACCTCTCTGAGCCTTAGTTTTGTCATTTGTAAAATGAGAGAACCAGACCAGACAATCAGCATACCCTCGTGTGAATGGTTGGTCAAATGTACCCTTGGCATTTTCTGTATGCTGCAGTCCATTCAAATCATTCTTTTAATTTTTCAAATCTTTTCTATCTACTCTTTTCCCAACAACCACCCAATGAAAACAGGCTTTAATTACCATCTTCATTTCATAGCTTCACCAATCTCTGGAGGTTCCACGTTCCTGTGCCGCCACAGACCCCATTCCCTCAGCTCTCTATGCTGTTGTGTGCCACTGAGTCGACCCTATGGGACAGAATAAAACTGCTCCATACTGTTGCCTAGGCTGTAATCTTTACAGAAGCAGACTGCCACAGCTTTGTTCCATGGAGCAGCTGGTGGGTTCAAACCACCAATCTTTCAGTTAGCAGCTGAGCACTTAACTACTGAACCACCAAGGCTCCTTCAGTCATCTATCCTGCCATTCCCCACAGGAAGCAAAGGCGGGGCACCCTGTCCGTACTTGCATGAGCTAGAGGACAGGGTAGAAATGGGCTAAAGTAGTCAATGTTAGTTTTCTGGTGACAGAAATTGGACAGGTGAGGCCCAATTCCTCCAGGTCAGATGAAGAACAGGCTTCTGAGGGCTAGTCCATGGCACACTAAACTCAGTGCCTTCATCGGCCCCCGGCTCCTGTCATCACACACCACCAGGAGCCAGGCCAGCAAAAACAAAACAAAAACAAACAAAAAACCCAAACCCAATTCTGACTCATAGCAACCCCCTTTGGGTTTCTAAGGCAATAAATCTTTACGGAAGTAGATTGCCCAGTCTTATTCTATGAAGTGGCTGGTGGCTTTGAACTGCCAACCTTCTGGTTAGCAATCAAATGCCTATGCACCGCACCACCAGAGCTCCTTAGCAAAGCCACTAGCACCTCCTTTCAAAGGACTGGCTTAGGATTTTTTCAGTATTAAACCCAGGCCCTTTAACAGAGGCTGATTTGACAACATGCATGTTGAATCAGTTGTGCTTTTCTTTCAGACATGAATCCTCACCACTTCTAACTCAACCCAAAACCAAACCCACTGCCATCAAGTCGATTCTGACTCACAGTGACCCTATATGACTGCCTCACACGGTTTCCAAGGCTGTAAATCTTTATGAAAGGCGACTGCCTCACTGTTCTCCTGTGCAGTGGCTGGTGGGTTTGAACCACCGACCTTCTGGTTAGCAGTGCCACCAGAGCTCCTTTACCACTTCTAAAGGGGGGAGGTTGGGTAGAAATCAGTTCCAAAGACTCAAATCCAGTCTTCCCTACCTTCAGTAAGCAACTGCAGTGGAGCTGACTCCAACTCCTGGAGCCCCCATGTGCATCAGAGTAGAACTGTGCTCCATAGTGTTTTCAATGGCTGGTTTTTCAGTAGACCACCAGAGCTTTCTTCTAACACTCTTCATTACAATACCCCAAAACTTTCTTGCCTGAATTTAAGGGACACCCTAGGTCTGGTGTGGGAGGTAGAGAGCCCTGATGGCTCTGAATGGAGTATTTGGGCGTGGGCCCCCCAACCTCTGGGCTGGATAGAGGTAGGAGCCTTTCAGAGGTCCCAGACTCCTGTAGGCAGGCAGGGAACATGTACTGCCACCTGCACCAGAACCACAAGCCACATCTTTTCAAGTGGCCCCTTCATGTCCCTGCCCTGGAGTTGTCCTCTTTCCTGGCAGCAGCAAAGGCTACCTGAGTGTAGGCAGGACCCCTCCACACCCCATGGGCAACTTTCAAAAGATGCAATTTTCCCCAGGTAGCCCTGTCCCCAGTGTGGTCCTGACACCGCTTCACCCTGCCCACTGGGTCACTAAGGCCAGGCCACTGGGGGAAAGGGCAGCACTGGCTGGGCAGAAAGCACAGCTGGAGGGCCAATGATCAAACTACTACAAAGGCCAGCATTTGTGTAGAGACAGCAAGGTCACCTGGGTCTCATTGGGAAATCTTGGCACAGGTGAGGGAGTACGAGGGTTTTCCAAGGTGATACCTGGGATCCAGCTGGCAACACCAGGCCATAAGGCAGACACAGGGGCAGGCCTGGGCAGGAGGGAGGGGAAGAACCTGGCCATGGGTAGTGGGGAGAAGAGAGCAGCAGCGAGACCTGGAGAAGCTTAATGAGCAACAGTGAACAGGATCAGCAGAACAAGGGGTGGCAAATTAATTTGAAGAATTTACTGTCTTCACTTCAGGATTCTGAGCACTCAATCCACATCAGAAAATCTCTCATCTCTTTTTCTTGAAATCACCCTGAGAGCCCCTCACCTCTTCACAATACATTGTAGTGTCCCACAAGCCTTACAGACCAGGAAGGTCTTGCCATCAACACACCAAAATCCCAACCCAGCAACAATTTAAACCTGTTGCATCTTGCCTCGTGGGTCGACAGTAGAACAAGTTCTGCCTTCCCCAGCCAGTTCCTTCACCTGTTGTAGGCCTGGATGAAATACCAAGTCCCTCCCCCATACTACCAGGGAGCTCCTTAAAGCTGAGAAAATCCCCCAGCAAGTGCTGGCCTAAGGAAGTGAGGGCATGGAGTGGGGTAGGCAGGGGGCAGTTGGTACGCTTTCTACTGAGTCTGCAAGGGGGTGGGCCAAACTTGACTTCTGTTTAACATTGGGCGGGACCCTTCCAGTTGGAGCCTCCATAAAAAGAAGGGGTTGGCACTTGGAAAGGGGTCAGTGCAGGAGATCGTGGATGGAGTGGGAGAACAATATAGAACAAAACTTAAAATCATAAAAAAGAGCAGGCTTACCTGGTCTGATAGAGCCTGGTGCACCTCCCAAGACTATGGCCCCTAGTTACCCTTCAGGCGTGGAATTGAACTCACTCCTGTGGCTTCCAGACAAACAATAGCAGGTGTACGGGAGTGAACATTTATACCAGGTAGAGACACTCCTTAGAACAATCAATCATGGGAGAACAGAAGGGCAGTGTTTGCACAGGGAGAGAGCTTAGGGAGTGGGAATGCATAGGAAAGAAGGACAAGAGGAAGAGGTAACTACAGGGAGGAAGTGGGGAGAGAGCTGTTACATTGTGGGGATTGCAATCAATGTCATGAAACAAAATGTGTATGAACTGCTGTATGGAAAATGAATTTCACCCAAATCACAATGTTGTTGTTGTTGTTATGTGCCGTTGAGTCAGACCCGACTCATAGAGACCCCTTCTTGGGTTTCCAAGGCAGTATCACTATGGAAGCAGATTGCCCCATCTTCCTTCCAAGGAGTGGCTGGTGGGTTTGAACCACCGGCCTTCTGGTTAGCAGTCAAGTGCCTTAGGCACTATGCTACCAGAGCTCCAAATCACAATAAAAAAGAAAAAGATTGTAACAAAAAAATAAAAAAAGATTATAACAACAAAAAAATAGATGGGGTTGGATGGGTTGATTTCTAAATTTGCTTCTTACAAAGATTTCAAGAGCTTGGAGTACACAGTAGAACAAAACAAAAAGGTACTGCAGTGGTTAAGTGACTTGGGTCCTGCCCAGTCACATGGCAAATCTAACTACATAGATGTGCAGAGAGAGTTTTTCATTCAACAATTATTCTCTAAATTTTAAGCCAGTGGATCCCTCTTATGATTATAGAAGAAACAGACCTTCCAAGGCTGGAGGAAGAACTAGCCTGGCTACACTGAGAGTATGCTGTGCTTCAACACCAGCCTTCCTCTAGAATTTTCAAAGGCAGTTTGTACTTGATTTTCCGTTAACATGCTGACTTCAAAACTTAATGCCCTGGTAAGAGGGAACCCAGGTCTGAATGGTCCCTGTGAGGGGGCTTTGTGTTCAGTGGGGAGCCAGAGGAGCCCCTCACATTCATAAGAGAACCATGTAGCCTGGGCAGAGGGTTAGACAAAGGGCAGTTTTTCTTCAAGGCCAATCTGTACCCTGTGGGGGTCAGAGTACCTCAGAAGTGCTTTGGGGGAGAAATGAGGGCAGGAGCAGGGAGACCTGAGGCACCCTCACTCCTGCTTCCACCCAAGCAGCCGGGCTTCTGTTTTCTGTGTGCGAGTTTGTGTTGGATTCTCTTGAGGAAGATCGTAGAAGCTGTCCACCAACTAAAATGCCAGGGAACAGCTCCTAAGACTGGGCACTCAAATCATGTCAGAAAAATCTCTGGGTGGGGTTTCTTTACATCTCCTCCTCTTACCCCTCCTGTTATTTCTCAGTCTCACCTGAGAAAAAGAAAGATGGTTCTCAGGGTCCCAGCTGTGGGGGCCCCGCGCTCCAGATGGGGCCCCAGGGCCTCCAGCAGCTCCGGGTGCAGCTTCTCAGCCTCGTCAAAGATAAACAGGGTCTGGTGGCAGCGCTGCTGTGTCTCCCGGATCTGGCTGGCCAGCCGTTCCTATATAGGACACAGGGAGCTGCTGGGAGCAGTGGGACACACATTCCCCCTCCAGCCCCCAGAGCCCTCGGGAGAGCACTGTTTTCCCCCAGGGCTTCAGACCATGGCTCATGCCGCAAAATCGCACCAGACCTGAGTTTGTAAAATGTGGGTGTACCAGAATGATAACCATAATGGGAAAAAGCATGGCTCAAAGCCCTGAAATGGGAGACGTGGAAGTCTTGTAGTGAGCCCTTCAGAAGCCTGATATAGGAGACTGAATTATTCCCAGGACTGAGGAGAGTGACACACATTCAAAGCAGGGCAGTTGGCTACCGTGTTTAAGTGGGGCACCACTGTTTCTGACTTTGCCTGTCAAGAGGTTTGGGTGCTATGCAGTTCACTAAGAGGGAGAGTAAGTTTATAGCAGAGTGTTGACCAGTAATTTTTCCCATTTCCGTTATCGTTCCAGTACTCCATTTTACAAATTCAAGTCCATTCCAGTTTCGCTTTGTCAGCCATGACCAAACTGGGGGCGGGGAGAACCACTTCAAAGCCCTGGTTTCTGCCAGGGCACTGTCAGTGGATCATTTGGGGCTGGGTTCTATCCTAGAACCACCATCTAGCCAGTGGGTCTAGGCATTTTAACTAGCTTCCCAGGTGATTCTTACGCACCCTGAGGTGGGGAAGCCAAATTAGGTAGAGCCAGCCTGGGTAGAGGGAGAGCCATGGCATGGAGTGGTGAGAAGCCCTGCCCACCCTTGGGGACAGGCCCCAGACATAGCCTCATTCTTCCTTTCCAAGATGAGGCCTATCCCAGAACTAACTGCCACTTCAGGGGGTGGGAGTCAGGCTCGAATACTGGGGTGATAGGCAGAAGTGAGGCTCAAGTGGCACCCACTGGCACCCAGGCTGGGCCAAGATACCATCAGTCTGAGGTGGGCCTGTCCAGGCCCCTTTGATCTGGAGGGCTTCTGCAAGAAGTTGTGTTGTGTTCCCTAGCTCATGTAAGCTCTGAACTGAAAAATAATCTCCTTTGTGGGGTTCAGCAGGAGAACAGGGCATATAATATTGGGTACAGCTCCCCCCAAGAAGGGGTGGTTTACCTGAACACACACTCAGTGTCCATCTCTAGTTCCCTGGACCCTGACTTCAGCCTCCAGCAGCCCCAGGCAATTTCCTCAGTAGGGAAGCTAGGACCCACAGTAGTTTCTGCCACAGTCAAGGTCAGATAGCTCTTCCTAGGAAGGCCTGGGCTAATTGGCCACTGGCCCCTGGGACAGCTGGGGTTCAGGTCAGTTCACCCTTCTCTGGCCCCACAAGGCCACAGTGACACTTCCAGGTGACCTGGGCAAATTCTGCCCACACAAGATTTACATAATCTCCCAGGTTAATACTCCAAATATTAGACCTGAAAGCCAAGTTCGGTGCAGTCACCTCTGCCACGCTGCATGGGGTTTTGTCATCTCCTGGCTGGTTTTAAATATCACATGTCTGAATTAGAAGAAACTCAAAATAATGGAGAAGCTAAGAAATTTTTTGTCCATCTCCTCACTGGCATATAATAAGCCATCATTGGAAGACACAGCAAATCACTTATAATATGCTGCTTTTTTTTTTCCCTTGAAGTTCCTTATGCAACTCTCTATCACGATAATTACAATGACATAAAACAACATAAGCACAGGGGACAGTCTTGTAGGAAGTACACCAGAATGCTAACTGTGCTTATGTTCATATGTGGAGACTGTGATCAAGTTTTTGCTTTTCTCTGTTCTGCATTTCCTGCAAAGCATATTTCTTCTGTATCAGAAAAATTAACACATGGATTCTGTTTGAGCTCATGGTCTAGTCCTTTGTGTATGGCTGGCAATGGGACAGAACTTGGGACCAGGGGTGTCTGGAACTTCATTCTTTCTCCCAGATGCTCTATGCCTCATCTGTGTGGAGTGAGTGGAGTGGATGTTGCCTGTCAAAGATTCTGTTGCAACAGCTGCCTCCCCCCAACACACACTCACCACCCCCAGGCTTCTCCAGCACCCAACTTCTTGTAAGGAAGAGCTGGTGTCAGGGCCTCCCTCCCAGCCCAGAGGCCTGCTCGGGCTGTGGAAGCTTCATTTCAGCTCTAGCCCCCATCTGGCAAAGCTACCTGCCTGACCTCACCTTGTACAGGTCCACATATTTGGGGTGAGGAAAGTGGAACATGGTGATGAACACTTTGACACAGTCACTCCTCAGCCCGTCCCTGTACAGGTTCTCCGCCAACATCCGTGCCACAAAGTTCTTGCCAGTGCCAGACCAGCCGTGGAATGACAGGGCCAGGGCCTTGTCTGGCAGGGGTGTCTCTATGTAGCCCCTCACTGCTCTCATGACCAGCTCTTGGGCCAAATGCTGGCCATGCAGCCGCACACTCAGGTCTGACTCGAGGCCTAGGAGCAGAAAAGCAGAGGCCACAGTGAGAGGAACCCACAGGCACAATCCTCACCAGGCTCAGCGATGGCCGAGAGACTATCTCTGCAGGTCTCTGAGGTGAGGCCAGTAATTCATCCTTTTGGGTCTCAGGACAGGGAGCCAGAGGGCCAGCCTTGCAGCGAAGGACTCAAGGGTTATTATCTGTAAAGTCTGAGAAATCAAGATTGAACTTAGGGAGAGAATGGAGTCGCCCTTCCTGCAGATGCTGGAGATACCCCAGAATGACTTCCCCTCCCCATGCCTGCAAGGTTCCTCCCACTCCCTAGTTGCCCGACTCCCTAAATTTTTTATGGAGAAGACCACAAAGACCCCATTTTACCCATTCATTCAGGCACTTGATAAGAGCAGCTACCATGTACACTCACCTAGCCTGCTTCTTCACAGCTGTGAGGTTGCAGGTTTGAGACAGTGGTACTGGGGCCATGGTAGAAACAGAAAAGCATTCTGCCAGCTGTGAGCAAGGCACCACCCTCCCAAATTCACGGTCGACTGGTTGGGGACCTTGAGCCAGGCCCGAGGGGGTACTCAGGAGCCTTGGTAGGTCAAGGTCTAATGTGAGACCCTGTAGGTCTCAAGTCCTTGTCATGCTGAAACTCACTGTCCCACCCAGACACACAGTGCTTCAAAAGCAGTAATGCCAAGGAAGGGAAACTTAACATTTGCACCACCTTCCCTGTACTCAGTGCTGGGCTAAGTGTTTTCTATTTTGTCTTCACAATAATTCTGCAAGGTAGGTATTATCATCCCCATCAAAAGCTGAGACTTGGAGAGGACTGCCTATGGCTGGAGGAGAGACCAGGAATCCAGCCCAGGAGTCTTGGGCTCCCCAACCAGAACAATGGGGCACCCAGGTCCTTGGAGAACAACGGGCATGTTGAGGGCAGACAGATAATTTGCTAACTGCTCATCAAGAGTCTCATCTGAGTCAGCAGAAATCCAAATCAGACTGCCTGACCTGGAGTTCAACATTCTGTCCTGGCCCAGACCCTGTCCTGGGACATAGGGCTTTCTCAGGAGTATGCAGAAAACACTGTCATTGGCCTCTTCACCAATCAAGTGACCTAATGTCTAGGGTGGGCTTTGTTAAATGGAGATGGAAAGAGCTGGGATCAGAAGACTTCTAGGCAAGGCAGTGGCTCGTGGGGAAGGCAGCTAGAGGTCCCTTTTGTAAAGGCCCAAACTGTTGTTCCTTTATCAGAGTATGTTGTCTTGAGGGTAAAGATCATCCTCTGAATCAAAATGCAAAATCAACTGTGGTATGAAAATCAAGCCAGCTGAGCTAATGAAAAAAAATATAAATATATACAGGAGGGAGACTGGTTAGTCATATTCATATGCAGCTGGACTTGAAGGAGAGAACACACAGGCATCCTAGTGGGGATTTTCAATACACATGTTGGTTACTATGAATTAGTTTATAATCGGAAACAATCTCCTGACTCAGGTGTGGTGCCACTGAAGCCATGCCACTGCTCCCAGAGGACCAGGACACCCACATTGAATCACCCAGACAATTTGTGGGCTAAAGGTTAGAAAAGGGCACTTTTAATCATAATCCACACTTTCCAATCAGTTCTCTCACTGATCCTCCTAGCAACCCTCTGAGGTGAGCAGCAAACCAAACCAAACCAAACCCGCTGCCATCGAGTCGGATCCACCTCATAGTGACCCCTCCTTGGGTTTCTGAGGCGGTATCACTATGGAAGTAGATTCCCAATCTTCCTTCTGAGGAGTGGCTGGTGGGTTTGAACCACCAGCCTTCTGGTTAGCAGTCAAGTGTCTTAGGCACTATGCCACCAGAGCTCCAGAGGTGGGCAGCAGGGGGTTGTTATTCCCATGTAGAGAGAGGGGAGATGCTCTGGGCCTGACTCTCCTAGGGGGTTGTTGCACATGCTGGGTGATGAAGAACTCGTAGTATAGCTCTTGGCACATAGTAGAGGCTCGGTAGCTATCCATTATTCTTCTTTTCCCCTTGGACACTCTTCCAGGGACAGTATGAGGGCATGGTGAGGGAGTGGGTGGCTCATGAGCATCAGGAAGCCCTCCCTCTACACAGGGGATGACTTTCCCATGGATTCCCAAGATCCAGGAATTCAGCTCACTTCCCCTAAGCCATTAAACTAAAGACTAAGAGGGGATTTCTGTCATGGTTTGAAGTATTTTAGTGCTCCTACAAAAAACAGGATGGAGATGCTTTCGCTTCTCTTTCTAGATTAAAGAATACAAAATCCACTAATGACACCATTTCACATTTTTGTTTGATCTTTGCTAGTTTTGGAAAACCTAGCAGTTCAATGTCTTGCCCAAAGCAGATACTCTCATAACTGCAGCCCTGACTTTGATCTTACTAGGGCAATCCATGGGGTAGGGGCTGGACAGGACGATGAATGGTCCCTTGTACCTTAGCTGTTTCCCCTGAATTGCCCCCTCACGCACACAGATCAATAGCCCCTTTGAGATCCTACCTGTGAAATTGTTAGAGATCCTGCAGTCCCCACTGTCACAGCAGTCCTGAAAGCTGCAGTACCACATGGTCAGGATATCCAGGTATTGCTGGCCCAACAGGGGAAGCTTCCAGCCTGGAAAAGGAGGAGCTGTGAGACAGGGACAGAGCCTGGGGCTCCCTCCCTGTGGAACCTGTGTTGCTCATGTAATGTGACATAGCAGAGAGGTTCCTTTTCCTACCCTCCATCCTCCCTCCACACCCACTCCTCACTACTCTCCCCTGGGCCTTCCTTGTGTCATGCCAGGGAACAGGCAGGAGTGGGCACCTCCAGTTTTGAGGAAGTCAATTGCCTTTATATAGATCCAGCTCCTACAAAGGATCAATTTATTCAACAATTGAATTTGAATTGTGGTGCTGGTGAAGAATACTGAAAACACCATGGACTGACAAGGATGAGCAAATCTGTCTTGGAAGAAGTGGAGGTGGAATGCTCCTTACAAGCAATAATGGCCAGACTCTGTCTCACCTGCTTTGGTCATGGTATCAGAAGGGACCATTCCCTGAAGAAGGATATCATGCTTGGTAATGTGGAGGGTCAGCAAAAGAGGGTAAGACCCTCAATGAGATGGACTGACACGTGGCTGCAGTAATGGGCTGAAGCACAGCAAGGATTTTGAGGATGGTCAGGACTGGGCAGTGTTTCGTTCTGTTGTACATGGGATTGTTACAAGTCAGGACCTATTCCATGGCACCTAACAACCATGTGCCAACAGTGTAAGAAACCCAGACCCCACCTACAAGGAGTTTGCAATCTAGTGGGGAGATGAACAGTAAGCTGGTAGTTGTTCTTCGTTCTTGCCTTGGGTACCCAAATAATCTGACTGCAGCCAATTCCAAGGGCCTCCAAATTTTTCTGTCAATTGGTATTTGAATATCCAGTACTAGCAAAAACAATCCATTCACCGGAATTTAGAAATTTCTTGATTTAAGTGAAAGATGTTATAGTACTTAGAATTATTGACATGGACTGGAAGGAGCTCAGAGGTCATCTGGTCCACAGCAGTGATGTGACAACCTCACCACACCATTTGTCAGTATCAGAGTTGGAACCAAAACTCAGGTCTTGGAACTGCATGTTCTCAAGGAGAGAAGGCATTTGAGGATTGGAAATAGTCACCAGATTTGTCCACACAGGGTTTTCCCTAAAGCCATCAAGAAGGTGGGATAAAGCAGCCACTTAGCATAACACCAAGGAGCCCTGGTGGTGTAGTGCCTAAGGCATTTGACTGCTAACCAAAACGTTGGCGGTTCAAATTCACCAGCCTCTCTTGAAAGACTGGGCAATCTACTTCCGCAGAGATACAACCCTGGAAACCCAAGGAGGGGTCACTGTGAGTCGGAATCCACTGGATGGCAGTGAGTTTGTGGAGGGTTTTTTTTTTTTTTTTGGTAGCATAACGTCAGGTGGGTTGGGAGACAGCACAGGAAGTGTGGGTCAGGTGGGAGACAGCAGCCAGGCCAGTTCATATCCATAAAGGCAGTGGGTCGTGACAAAACTTCCTGATCCCTCCGGGGCTGCCCTGCCCACAACTGAACAGTAATGCTGGCTGAGAAGGAGACAGTTTGGTGGCCCAGATTAGGAAGGTCCAGGGAAGGAGCCATCTGCGACCCACATTCAACTCGGCGCCTGCACAGCATCCCCATCTCCTGCCCTTTGGAGCTGTGGGGAGCCGCCGGCAGGCCGAGTCCGGATGGTGATCTTACCCAGAGGCTCCCAGGCCGCCGCCTCGTTGTCCTCGCAGTCCTTGGGCCACACTTGGCATCTGAAGAGCGCCCAGTACCGCCTGGAGACAGCACCGGCTGCCTTTAGCCTCTCCTTCATGCCCTGGAAGCTGGGCCAGACCGCGCCCGGCTCCGCGGCGCGCTCCCCAGGCCTCGCTCCCCCTTGGTGGCCAGGTGCGCCCGGGAGCAGCAGCAGCAGCAGCAACAGCAGGCAGAGCCCGAGCAGGCGCCGTGGGCCACGAGACATAGCACAGCCCGCTCCGCCCATCCTCCCGGCCGGGCTGCGGTCCCTTGGCCGCCGGGCTTTCCTAAACTCTTAAATCCCTGGCAAACCCGGGCTCACGTCCGAGGCCGGATTGGCCAGGGATCGGCGATGCCGTGGGAACCGCAGGCCGGGCTGCTCTCGCACTCGTCCCGGCGGCGATCCCCGCCTTCCAGGTCTCGTCACTAGTGACCCAGGGCGAGCCCAAGGGCCGGCTGGAACTGAAACCCGGGCTCGTGTCCCGGAAGGCATCCCGAGCAGTTGTCAGGCTCCACCCACTCAGCTGGGCTGGGCTCCAGGAAGCAGTTTATTCTGGGGTGTTACCGTGGTTTCGAAAAGTGGTTAGGTCGGGTCTTGAAATGGCACTGTCAATCACCATGTTACTACTTTCGCGCAACTCTAGTGGCCCACCTGAGGCCTGACAAATAAAGGCACTTATTTGTCACTTTTCCCATGTCTGCAAGATCAACTTCCTGTCATCATGTTAGGCAAAAACATGGAAACCATCTCACCCAGGATCTTTACTTCCGTCAGGGGAGTCAGCTGAGTGCAGAGAGAGCCTAAAAAGAAGAAGGGGCATCAGGGTAGTATTTATAGGCCAGGCACATTTCTGTCTGCGGTTGGTCAAGGTCGCCCTGGCTGCTCTGTAGGGAGAAATGAAACATCCCAGCAGCCAGAAACAAGCAGATTTCCACAGCTAGGAATCCACCAAAAGCAAGAGGAAGCTAATGGGCTCCAATCTGCAGACATTTTAGCTTTGGAAACCCCCACTAAACCAAAAAACAAACCTGTTGCCTTATAGTAGATTGGCTCATCATGACCCTATAGGATAGAGTTAAACTGATCTATAGGGTTTCCAAGGCTGTAAATCTTATGGAGAAGCCCTGATGGCATAGTGGTTAAGCACATGGATGCTGCCATGTAGTAAATTGCCTAGTATGGCTTTTCTAGCCATAAGTATTTGTAAACTCACTGGTGGAATTTGCCCTGAGCAGTTGAGGAGCTCCTGATTGTAAAAGTTACTCACCTGGGATATTTCTGTTGAGCAAGACACAACGCAAAGTTCTGGGAAGTTTGGTCTGTCTCAGGGGTTTAGAATTCTGATGTTATGATTGGCTAGTTTGGCCACTCTACCAGGCTCAAAAGGAGGCCTCCTAGAGGCAGAGGTCTCTCTGACTGCTGGCTAAGGAGGGCTGCTGAGAAGAAACACGCTCCTGAGAGAAATGTGCTCCTGAGAGACAAGTGCTGCTGTGAAAGAGATGCAAGAGATACGCATTGCTGAGAGAGACCAAGGGACACGCACTGCTGGGAGAGAGACTGTGAGAGACTGTTGGGTGAGAGACAGTGGGCTGAGAAAGGCTTTTTCCTTAAGGGTTTCCTTCTCCATAATATGAGGAACATGGAACAAGGTTTAGATTTCAGGAGAGCTTAATGCATTGTTTTGAAAACACCTGAGTTACTGAAGCCACTGGCTTCAATGAGTTACTGAGCCATCTTGTCCTATGAAGAAATTGCTGTCTGGAGACACTTAGTGTCTTTGAGGTTGTGCTCTCCAGATAGTAAAGTGAATTCTAGCACCACGTCCCACAAAAGTCACAGGCACATTGACTCATCTGTTTGTCCCAGTCTCTCAGACTACATATAATGCCGTCTGCGGCTTCCTCAGCAGCTCAAGTTTGCTCCTGCCTTTACTCAAACAGCTGCAGCAATCAGATAAACACCTTTGTTAGGAACCAAGATAAGTTGGAAAGGTAATGCATGTTATCTATCTGTGTAGCAAGTCTTAGCCACTTGAGAGTCCTGTCAAAATTGGACAGAAATCCACACACCCCCCCCCAAGCAGTGGCCATGGCACCAGTACAGCATTAAGTGCAATGAAGCTTGTGAGGATAGTTAACAAGGAACACACCATTGCACTTACTGGGCAATTGCAAAACATGCACTCAATGAACACTATTTGAGCATGAATGGCAGGCAGTATAGTATAGTGATTAAATGAATCTGCCTTTTTTGTACATGTATAACCTGGGGCATTGTTTAACTGCTCCATGCCTCAGTTTCCCCACGCATAAAATGAGGATTATAAAATACTCACCTCAAAGGGATACTGTGAGGATTCAATGAGCTAATTCAGTGAGTGTACTGTAAAGACCCAGGACATGTTAACTTTTGTTATTGTATATGCCCAGTCATGGTGGGAGATGCTGGACTGTATACCCTGGGGCCTGGACAACTTTCCTTATACTGGCAACTTTTATAGGTGAATTATGGTGATAAAATTACTACTACAGCTGCTAGTCCCTGATTTATGACAGGGATCCATTCTGATGAGTCCATCCTATATAGGTTCTGACGTAAGTCAAATACTATTTTTTAAGTCTTCATTATTATTGCCTTTTATTAGCAATTATCTTTACAAATCCTATCTTTAGATATCTTCAAATGAACATCTGAGAATGATAACATCAAACTATGTGCTGCATCATTGTATACTACATATTACCGATAAGATGTACCAAAAAAAATAAATAAATAAAACCAGTCTTAAATGTGGTTTGTTGTAACTCGAATTAGTCATAAACTGGGGAGACTACCTGTGTACTCTTAAAAGGAGCTCTGTGGGTAAGGCATTTGGCTCCTAACCAGAAGATTGGTGGTTCAAACCCATCAGCTGTCTTGCGGGAAGAAGAGGAGGCAACCTACTCCTATAAGGATTTATGGCCTGGGAAACCCTACGGGGGTCTCCGAGTCAGAATCCCCTCGATGGCAGTGGGTGTGGTCGTGGTAGCAGACTCTTAAAGCAATCCAAGTTTTGAGACTTTGTGGAAGGACTTACCTACTTTTAACTTTCATGTACGGCTAACTGCTAATTTCTGAGACATTTTGATTTGGGTTTAGCATTTATGGTAAACAAAGGAGGTAGCCGGGAAGTTCCTTTAAAAATTGTGAATTTCAAGGAGAAGTCTTTTTTCCCCTAAAGAATGAAGGCAAATATTTAACCAAAAAAGCAGTCCTCTGTAGAAAAATGAATCCAAATACTGGTTTCTGGACAACTTCCTGAGAATTTCAACCAATTGTTGCAATTTCTCATAGCTGAGGCTGCTTGTCAAACTCTAGGAGTGAGATCTCGTGGGTGATGCAGCCACCTAGAGACTACAGTGAAAACTACAGGCACCTAGGATTTCTTAGTATATGCTTCTTAAGAGTATCCAAAGGCCAGAGACACTGGCATCACTCAGGAGTTCGTTAGCAATTCAGACCCTCAGCCCCGATCCTATACCCACTGTATCGTAACTTGCATCTTAACAAGGTCTTTTAAAGGAAAATGGGAGCACAACATTTTTACTAAGGTTAAGTGAAGAGGACTTAGCTTTCCAAGAAACACCTTTCCAACCTCACTGAAGATGGTCACAGCCATTTGCCTTGAAAACAATCTTTGGGTAAAAACCAAGTCTTTATCTCCAAACAAAGAGACAAGCCTAAACTTTAAAAGAGAAACTCTGATGATATTCAAGAACATAAAATGAATGTTCCACAGCTCATCAGTATTTCAGTGGTTCCTTTAACATTTACGGCATAGCACTTGAGGCATCACTGTGAACTAAAATTGGCCACACCAAGGCTTCCTGATGAAAACTCCAGGAAGAGCTGCAGGGACATTTCTGCCACTGAATACAGACAGGGCCCAAGAGGCTATACATCTTCTAAACTCACAGCTCCGTGCTTCTGTGGTCAAGCCGCAAAAAAAACCCAAACCCGTTGTCTTCAATTCAGACTCACAGCAACCCAGTTCTACTCAGAGTAGAACTGCCCCATAGGGTTTCCAAGGCTGTAACCTTTTCAATTTGTGCATTGAATGCAAATTTACAAAGCAAATTTTACATTCCACAGTTCATGTATGTTTGGTTTCACAGCCGATTACCATCCCTAACCATAAAAAACTCCTCCCTTCCTCTCCCTGTGACTACCCCTCCCTGTGCCCTTCTTATCTGTGCATCCTGTCTGTCCAGCTGTCCCTGTGTGTCAATGCTGCCCTCTGGTGTCTCATGGCTGACTGCTCTAAGGGGTGCATTCTCCCTGGAGTAGGTGGGTGCACTGCCCTGGGGTAAGTGTTCTGCTTGTTGGTCTTCCTACTTTTAGGCTGACAGCCATTCCATGGGAGTTCATTTCCAGGCCTGAAGGGTAACGTGGGGCCATAGTATCAAGGGTTCTACCAATCTCTATCCAATCAGCAATTCTGGTCATTTTTGTTTTTGAATTTTGTTCCACATATTTCCTCTCACTCTATCCAGGATCTCGTTTTGATCCCTTTCCTAGTGGTTGGCTTGGTAGCTGGTCACCATCTAGTTCTTCCAGTCTCAGGGTCATGAAGGCTAAGGTTCTCGTGGTCCATCTTATCCTTTGACTAATTGTTTCCAGATCCGTTTTTCTTCACTCTTTGATTCAGATGAGACCAATAGTTGCATCTTAGATGGCCGCTTGAAAGCTTTTAAGACCCCAGTCATTACTCACCAAAGTAGATTGTAGAGTAAGACTTTGTACTATGTTGTGCCAATTGAGCATGATGTCCCCTGAGACTGTGGTCCCGAGTCCACAGGCCTGGTGATTCTCTCAAGGTGTTCGGTTGTCTTTGAGAAGTTACTCCAACTTGGTCTTCTGTTGCTTCTGTAATAATGTGGCTAATTTTGTAGCCCAAGTGCGTACGTAAGGTTTCAGCCAAAGCTGGTCTAGGGCATATATATTCCTGTTTGCAGGGCTATAACCTTTACAGACACAGACTGCCTCATCTTTCTTCCGCAAAGCAACTGGTTGAGTCCAAACGGAATTGAAGTCACTCTGAGGCACTGAGTGATTCACACACAGTTCTCTTCTACTTGGATTATGGGTTCTTTGAGGGAAGAGACAGTCATTACCTTGGTGGTACCCAGAGCATCCAGTTCAATGCCCGAACGTTGACTGGAGAAAGACCAAATGGCTATTTGATACTGGGATTTATACAACCACTTATAAAACCCCAGCCACGCCCCACCATGGCTGTGGACATTCTTGTCCCTATGAAGGCTGTTAAAAAATCAGTTTTCTAAGAAAAGATGCTGTGTAAAGTTAGCCAGTAACAGAACCCTGTCCTCCTCACTCCCAGCTCTAATACAAGTCTTCTCAATATGGCTGTGAAGCAAATGAAGCATGAAGTCTAGCCTAGAAAAGGATTTGAATGGTGAGTCAGGAAAGAACACATACCAGGCCTCAGCCTCCCAAAGGACAAACACTGACATAAATACGCTGCAAATCAAGTTAAAACATTAAGAATTCTGCTCAGTTCAAGCAGGTTGAGAATAAGGATGCTAGATTTCCATTTTAAAAGGTGAAAACTACGTGTCCTAAGAATTATAATCAGGCAACTGGCCCACTCTTTCATGCCTCTATGGTACTAGGCTGGCAACAAGCTCTTTGGGTTTCATAATTCTCCCCCACTTAAGGAAGCTGCAGGAATGGAGACAACGATTACATACACAAAAGCACCAGATTCGTTCTGTGGAAGAATCTTGGTACAGTCACAATGCAGTATAGGCCTTTGGAAGGCAGGTGAGGAAACAGAAGAGTAAAGGCCTCATCCGCCAGGCCCTGTGAAACAATCCCTGCGGACGTTTAAGTGGGAGCAAAGATGGAACCTTCTGTCCCCCAATTGTAAGCACAAAACTGGAATAGAAAACACTAGAAATAACTTGAGAGAGGGAAAAGAACATTAAGGGGAAAAAATGATACATCAGCATTTATTAAAATCTTTATTTTTCTTTTCAGAATCGAAACCCATGGAACACATTAGAAACTTAGGTTTGCATCAGTCTTGTTTGGTGTCTTCCCAAGTACAACCTCTGTTTGTGCAACAGCTATGAGAGGAAATCCTTGGTAGATCAATACACGGAGTAGCGAGTGGTTCCTACACCTCCCTTGTAAGGGAATAAATTAGCTTCCTAGTAAGTTCTCCCCACATCTTGTGTTTGTAACACCTTGGTTCCTTAAAAACCTGTGGCAGTACAGTACTCAGTCCCCAACCTTTCACCACCCAGACTTGAGGAATTGAGGGAGAAAAACAGGCCATCTCCTGCAGAGTAAGTTTCAAAGTCAGTCTTTCTGGCACACCAAGAGCTGAATGGTCTTTATGTCACTTAGTGCTATCTTTCAGACAACCCTGCACTAGCCCAAGTTCAAGTCCTTTGAGAACATAAGCCATCGTTTCCCAGTGTCAAAATAAATACACTTCTTGCTAGAATAGTACAGGACTATATACATACATACAATGTTACTCATGTTTCCTGAAGCTCAGGATCACAGGAGGACTCATACAAGACAGCTGCTGACAGACGCTGTTTTACGTGAACTCGGGTGGTCAGTTACTGGTCAAAGGAGAACACAGGGTGGCAGAGGAGGGAGCCTGAAGGAATATGGTAGATGGGGAAGGGAAGCCAGAGACTTTCTTTTTCAAAGAAAAGGAAGATGGATTTAATGGGAAAATATATTGCCTTCCTGTGTCTTTGAAGAACTGCCATGCACATGATTCATTTTTCCCAAAATAATTGCAATGGATGGACCTGAATTCTTCCACTTTCTTCTTATATTTCATTTGACACAGTGACCCTGAGTGCAAACAGGGAGAATGCCTCATTTATACCTTACTGAACAACATGTTACTTGAGGTAACATGAAATCCATCTATTAATTGGTTTTGCAAAGAAAGTTATGTAGGCTCCTCCTCAAGCCCACAATGTAGACCCACACTAAAGAACAGTTTTAGAATGACCACTCTATCCACATTTTCCCACTCAAACTCCTGAATAAATATTTTTAAGAAGTGGGAGGAGAGCATGAAGTAGCAGTCTGTTCCTAGTTTTATATTAAAAATGAATCCACATCTACCTTTAGATGCTAGCAGGCACACCCAACTCAGGGCTAATCAAATACCAAGAATCCCTTCAAGGATTTGTTTTGATTGCAATAGCACTAGATTCTCATACATAAATACCATAAACCATAAAGAGAACAGTGTTACAAACCTTTTAAATAAGACATCTACCTCTTTTTTTTCCCCAGCAAAAAGAACTTAGTGTTTGTGACTACAGGGCTGTAAGCTTGCTTTCCTCCAAGATTCGCCTAAACATACTCTTCCAGCTTCGTGCAGCCCTGACTTAGAACGTAAATTTCTCAAACGTCACGTCATACTATTCTGTACTCTATTAGGGATCTGAATATGTTTTAATACCTTGAGTCTGAAATCAGTATGCAGAAAGAATGAAATGATACATTTTCTGGAGTGTTTTGAAGAATGAGACATTTCTCAAAGTTGTGAGCCCCCTCCCCGTTCACTTTTTTCCTTAGCAGAATTTTCTGCCTTCAACATTATGAACAACATTCCCACTTTGGGAACAATTTTTACTCATTCCAGTGTGGCATACTAAAGGCATCACGTGTTTAAAAGAACACAGACTCACAATTTTGCTCAACTAACATTTATCAGGAGCTCTGGTGGTGTAGTGCCTAAGGCATATGACTGCTAAACAGAAGGCTGGCGGTTCAAACCCACCAGCCACTCCTTGGAAGGAAGGTTGGGCAATCTACTTTTCACAATGATACTGCCTCAGAAACCCCAGGAGGGGTCGCTATGAGTCAGACCCAACTTGATGGCAGTGAGTTTGGTTTGGTTTTTTGGAACCTTTATCAAGGAGACCACAGCTCACATCCTTCCCACCATCTCCCAGAAGGTTTAGCGGAAGTGCTCTCCAAAGTATTTGCAAGCTGAACGTGAATTTCCCTGGACACACAGTAAACTGCTCTATGATTAGAATCAATGCATCCTTTTGTCAATACTATTTCAGTGTTTGGAGCTTATTATCTGTCTTTTTAAATTCAATAGTTTTTTATTACTCAGTCCACTCTGTGCCCATCTCAAAAAACAAATATATCGTACAAAAGCACCCTAACTTCATGCTATTTTAAAGTAGTTACAGGTTACTCAGTTATCTTTTAATGCGAGATAACTGAGGTATAAATTCCAAAGCTGTTTTTAAAAAGTGCGGGTGCCTAAAACTGGTCTCCAATGACTGGTGTTAAATTTGTTCAACCACATTGTTTAAATATTAGTCTGTGCTTGACAGAAGTACAAAACAGGAACAGCACCCAGACAAGATGCAGGAGGGAACTACAGCTCCAAGCATGCAGGTGAATGGGCGCACTGGGATCGTCCTCCTAGGAGGTCCTGTATTTTACTGCAACCTCTTACTTGTCAAAATTGCTTTGCCAGAACACAGAAACAAGCCCGTGTTTTAGCAACCTCAAGTCTGAGAGTGTGCAGAGAAGATGGGAGGAAAACACTACACCATGGGTTCAAGACCCTAAATGCGGCTAAAGGTTTGACATAAATCAAAATCTTAAGGCTCCTTAAGGTGACCTCTTTCACTTCAAGACTCAGAAGGCTTAAAGTCTGTTTTGCATGGCCCAAATCACAAGCTAAGTGCAGCCACCAGCAGGGTGCTGTCATCTGTAGAAGTGAGCTGGCTTTTGTCACAAGGCTGGCACAAACAGGACTGCCAATAGCTTGCAAACTGCAGCTTTGGTGGCCAAATGCCTTAAAATCAGAGGTGGAAATTCATCTCAAAAGAGAAACAAGGATGGTGGACTTGTATTCAAGGTATTGTTTCAGTCTGCTTTGTAACTTACAAAGAATTTGCTTGCTTTGGGCAAAAGGGGGTTTAAAAAAAAAAAAGTCCCCATAAGAAAATGGTGCTTAGGTGCAACAATATTTTCTCTAGAGACAAATTTTTGGTTAATTTGGACACAACTGTTAGACTATGGATTTTACTTAGGTACCGAGTCATCTTTGCTTCTTTACAGACCTAAAGAACTCAAGTACGAGGGAAGTGGTTTTCAGTAATGATCTCAGTATATGAGTCAATCATCCCCCCAACTCTCATTCTTCCAAGTGGATCTCTCTCTCTCTCCTTTCCTCCTCTAAGAATTATCAAAAGGACTACTATGCAACAGTTAAAAACTCTTCCCTGCTTTTGCCCTTTTTCCAATTCTATCCCCTTAAAATACACCCTCTCCAACAGAAAGTGCTATTTTGGCTCAGCGGGACCTAAGAGGAAGCACAGCCAGAACGCTCCTGAGAAGCAAGGACGGCAGGACGCCACCTCATGGACTTTGGACATGTCATCAATAGAACACAAGGTTTCATTTGCTGCCACTCCTTAGGAGGCAGTAAGCTTTCCAATTTGACTAGTCCTGGTGAGAAAAAAGACACAAGATTGCCAAGTGTTTTCAGAAAATCCACAAGTGTGGAGAAAGAACTGTAAAGTTCAACCAATCTCAGCAATAATCCATCCAAATGTCATACCTCTCTGAGTCCTTTGGGATGGGAAATGAAAACTGACCAACCACAATGCCCACTGCTACGATGGGCACATAACACCAAGGAAGTCAGAAGATGATTCAGTAGGAGTGACTCCGCGGTCTGACACTCACAGTCTTTGCTTTAGTTTCTGTTACAGAAAACAGCAAAGACATCCAAGGCCACCCTGTCCCCTATCACCAGACCTTGCTGCTGGCCATTTCCAATCCATCGGATACCATCTGGAATTGATTGTGCTGTTTCTCTATCTTTGTAAAAAGAAGTTTCATGTATTTTGTGTTGAGAATTACAAGTGGGAGAGAGGCATTCTGTCTTCCACCAACACAGCGTCCGCCCCAAACTGGTCAGTGCACTGCTTCACGGTGGCCAGGACACTCACGAGCCTCTGGTCCACGGCGTCCAGGTGAGAGTCATAGAGCACTGGGGCAATGGGGTCATGGCCCATGGCCGATTTTAAGGCAGACTTCAGCACACCGTTCTTTAGGTAGTTCAATCTATTCCAGGTAGAAACCCTAATGCTGGAAGAAGAAAGTTTGGGATAGGTTACATAAACCTCTATCAAACGGCATTTGGAGATTATATAAATTATTTCAAATGGAAAATTCATTTTTGTTACCTCTACTTCAGAAGTCACATTACCTCATTTTTATTTTTTTTTCCTGGATAATTAATCTGGAATACACATGAATATTATACATATTTATGATCACTGTAGTGCTATTCGTAACAGGAAAAATGGGAAACATTTTGAATATCCAACAACTAGGAAACAGTTAAATAAATATGGTCATCCACTCAAGGGAATACCATGCCACCTTTCAACCATTTTTGAAAATGTGGCATGGGAAAATGCCCCGTAATGCAATGTTGGGTGGTATGCTAGTTAAGATTATGTGTCAATTTAGCTGGGCTTGGTTTTGAGAGGCTGGGCAGCTGGATATAGCTGTTCTCCATGCTGAGATTAATAATCAACTCCACAGTGGAATCTACTGGAGCAGCTGAGTGGCTGCCTTAGGGATGGGGTCTGCTTCCAGTATATTAAGGAGAAACTGAGAAGGGTCTCAGCAGCCTGCCATGCTGTCTGCCAATCTTGGTACTTTCAATGAACTTGAAATAGTGGCCTGCCGTGTGTCCTTTTTACTTGTCGATCTTGAACTTGTCAACCTTAGAAGCCAGCAGCTGCCTGAATGAAGAGATGCCTCCAGCTTCAGTGGGCCAGGAGTAAGAGGCAGAGCTGAAGCCCAAGGTCAAGGGGCTTTCACCCAACCCCTAGGAGCTGGCACTCTGAACCCAGACTTCTAGCCTCCAAAACTGTAAGAGAATACACTCCTGCTTGTTAAAGTCCCCCTTTGTGGTATTTTCTGTTAGAGCAGCACGAAGTAACCAAAACATCTAGGGGAAAATGTATGGAGGGAAAAGCCTATTTTACTCCAAATTTGTGGGGAGATAATATGTATTTATATATGTGCATATGTATTTACACACACACTACTAGAATAAAGAACACTACAATGTTAAAAGGAGTTACCCTTAGAAGTCAATGGGGGATTTTTATTTTCTTCTTTACAGGTGGTCCCTGGGTTTTGAACAGGATCTGTCCGTAAGTGTATCTTTAAGTCAGATTTGCAGATTAAGTCAGAACAAGTGCATATTGTTCTTATTTTGCCTTACTTTAGTGCAAGGAGCTTCAGTGGTATAGTGCCTAAGCATTTGAGTGCTAACCAGAAGGTTGGAGGTTCAACCCCACCAGCCAGTCCACAGAAGGAAAACTGGGCAATCTACTTCTATAAAGGTTTACCACCTCAGAAACCCAAAGGGGGGTCACTATGAGTTATAATCGACTTGATGGCAATGACTTTTTTTTTTTTGGTTTTCAGTACAAGAAAAGACTCGAAGCCTTTTCAGTGATTTAAAAGCTGCACATGGAGCAAGCAAAGGTGATTGTGATGAAGACTTTGTTGCTAGACGGTTTAGTCATTTCAAAGTGAGAGCAAATTTACATAATATTAAAAGGCAAGTACAAGTTTCCATAAGTTGGATGTCCATAACCTGAGGATTCACTGTATATGTTTTGGAGTTTTATAAATTTCTATCATTAATATTAAAAACAAGAAAAAATTTATATTTTTCACTTTATATATACACTTATTTTTTTCTTTTTCTCAATGAATAATGAAGGCTGAAGAATAGATGCATATGAATTACGGTGTTGGCAAAGAACACCGACTATACTATGGACTGCCAGAATGCTCCGTAGAAGCCATGATGGCAAGACTTCATCTCATGGACTTTGGACATGTTACTATCAGGAAGGACATCACGCCTGGTGAGATAGAGGATCAGCAAAAAAGAGGGAAAATTTCAATGAGATGGTCTAACAACAGTGGCTGCATGGTAAGCTCCGACATGGCAATGACTGAGGATGGCACATGACCGGGCAGTCTTTTGTTCTGTTGTGTCAGGACTGATTTGACAGCACCTAATAACATTTTTCTTAGTCACCAGCTAACAAAGATCTTTATCTCAGCAAAAACGTATTTTTAAGCTAAAATAATTACTTCCTTGTGGATAAAGTGGGCATTACTCACTCACTCACTCAGTCTCCGCTATCGAGTCAATTCTGACTTATAGCAACCCCCACTGGGTTCCCAAGGCTGTAAATCTTTATGGAAGCAGACTGCCTCAAATTCCTTCTGTGGCTGGTGGATTTGAATGACTGATTTTATGGTTAGCAGCCTAATGCTTTAACCACTGCAAACCAGTGCTCTTCGAGTGTTACTATGTATGCAAAAAAGTCTGACTCTGCAAGAGGCTGCTCACTTTGCAATTATTTAAAAAATAAGGACTGATCTGTGCACTCAGCACAGAAGGCATGGATAAACACAGATGAAGCCCAGCTTTGCAATTCTGAAACGGCTTCCCAGAGCATCAGGGCATCTTCTCTGTGACTAGGTTATCAGTTTATTGCCTCTCAGCCCAAACTCATTCTTCTATGTGTGCTCTGTTACAATGGACAACATGGCTCCTGTTAAGCTTCCTCAGTAGAAGGTGCTGGAGGGACAGTGAAGGAGGAATGGGCTGTCCTGCTACAAGCACCCTGGGTCTGTGGTCAAGGCATCCAACAGAGCAGCTGTGCCCCAGCCACATGTCCAGAAAGCACAGTCCCTCAGTGACCTTGCAGCTTGACCTGGCCTGCTGATAACCTTCTGAGGACTTCTCAACAAGGAAACCACTGTCCAGAAGGCTGCCCACACCAGGCTGCAGTTTCCTCTGTAGGCTCATAAGCCTGGCTTGCTTGCTGGCCCAGAGGGTTCACAAGCTGTGAGTGCCTGGGCCTCACCTGCATGGTAGAGGGCTGCTTCCTGTTTGTCCATTGCCTGCAGACCAGCCCTGATGTGGGCAAACCAGCCAACTTCTCTGCCACCAAGGGGCTGAACTACACCTTCTCCAATGAGGTCCGAACTCCAGCCTTTGAGGGTGGGGTAGGGTGGTACTCCTTCCAAATTTGTCCTTCCTTGGATACTCTTTTAATATTATTTATTATTGAATTATTAAACTCAACTTTATATTATACTTATCTTGTTTAACCCGCTGAATCTTTTCTATATTCTTATGGGTCAGGCTGCAATACTGACTATCAATGCAAAAAACAGTTTCCTTCAAAGCCAAATACAACTTTTCAATTGTAGGGTAGCACAAACAATTAAGCACTCAATCACCAGCTGAAAGATTGGTAGTCTGAGCCCACCCAGACATTTCTCAGATGATAGGCATGGCGAGCTGCTTCTGAAAGGTTACAGCCTTCAAAATCCATGGGGCACAGTTCTTCTCTGCACACATGGGGACATCATGAGTCAAGACTGACTGGATGGCAACTAACAACCACAAGAATAATGTATCACCGCTTCTCAATATCAATGAAAACAAGTAAGGTTGCCTGGGTAAAAAAAATATTAGTTTTTGTAGCATTCTGTTGCTATTAAAAAAAAAGAAAAAGAAAAAGAAAAGGGAAGAAAAGAGAAACAGACTAGCTGCTGGGAGGGGCAGTGTGATGCATGCCTCTCCTAGCCATGGTCTTTGTGACTCCCCCAGATGACTGGGTGGAACAATGCAAATGTAAGGTGCATGTGGCCCACCACGGGGACTGGACAGCTTGTGAGTAATGTAAATAAGGTACATGGCACCCTTGTTGGGGTGGGACTATGGAATAAGATATATGAAAACCTAATGTGCGGGTTAGTCAGTTTTGTCATTTTGCCAGGCTTAAAATGAGCCCTCCCAGAGGTGGAAAAGGGGGATCTCATTGCCATCAAGAGAGAAGAGCCAGAGTTGGAGGAGGGTGTGTCATCAGAGCTGAGATCCCTGTCCTGAGACAAGAGATGACAGAGAGATTGGCACAAGAACCAAGAGATTGGCACAAGACAGAATGGTGGGCAACAGTGGCTGCCAGTCCATGGTGTGAGAAAGCTGAGTGCCTTTAGGTAGGAGTCTTGCTGGCGGGGTGGGGCACACCTAGGTGCCCCTATCAGCAGACCTAAAATATCTTTGTAACACTTGCCCGAGCAGGGCAAAGGCCAGGCCAAGAGGCTGAGAGCCAAAGAAGTGTGCTTCTGGGCACAGCCAAGGGGAGGTTGTCATGATCAAAGAATTGTATCCTGAGGGTGTTCCTGCACCTGAATTGTAGCCCATTCCTTCCCTAATAAACCCCATCTACATTTGTCTGTCAGTTTGTTGTACTATGGTGGCTTGTGTGCTGCTGTGAAGCTAGAGACTATGCCACCGATACTTCAAATACCAGCAGGGTCAGCCATGCTGGACAGGTTTCAGTGGAGCTTCCAGACTAAGACTCAGAAGAAGGAAGAAGAGGCCATCAACTTCTCAAAGAATTGAGCAGTGAAAACCTTATGAATAGCAGTGAAACACTGATATATTACTGGGAAACTTTATGAATAGTCTTGAAACACTGTCCGATATAGTGACAGAAGATGAGCCTCTCAGGTCGGAAGGCACTCAAAATATGACTGGGAAAGAGCTGCCTCCTCAGAGTAGAGCTGACCTTAATGATGTAGATGGAGTAAAGCTTTTGGGACCTCCATTTGTTGATGTGGCATGGAACATGGAATGTACGATGTAAGAATCTAGGAAAATTGGAAGTTGTCAAAAACGAAATGGAACACATAAAGATTGATATCTGAGCTGAAATGGACTGGTTTTGGCCATTGTGAATCACACAAGCATATGATCTACTATGTAAAGAATGACAAATTGAAGAGGAATGGTGTGGCATTCATCATTACAAAGAATGTTTCAAGACTTGTTCTGAAGTACAATACTGTCAGTGATAGGATAATATCCATACACCTATGTGGAAGACCAGTAAATATTACTATTATTCAAATTCATACACAAACCACTGAAGCCAAAGATGAGGAAATTGAAGACGTTTACCAACTTCTGCAGTCTGAAATTGAATGAATATGCAATCAAGATGTGTTGATTATGACTGATGATTGGAATG